AAAAAGATGCTTGATTAAAAACACAAATTAATAGAATGGCCGCAAAAATCAGACAACAAATTGCCGCTGGCTAAAAACTAAAATAATTTCTACAATTACTTTTATTTTTTGCTACAAAGCTAGCAAAGTAGATATGCCAATTGAAATTGTGATAGTTTTCTATACTCAAAATCTCTCTAAAAGCTCCAACTTGGCTAAAATACATATATGTTGGAGGAGGAGGAGAAGGAGGAGGGGGCAAGAAGCTGTTGACCAGCTCTTGGCGCGTTACATTTCAATTCATTGTTGTTAGCAAAAAGTTGGTCGTTAAAATTCGCTGACAAAAACTGAACTTGAGGCACGTTTTATTGCGATTCCCTTATGTCCTGGCGCACTTCTAAGCGTAATTGATTGATTGATGGATGGCCAAATGGATGAACGCTTGCCTGTCCACTGACCGAGCAGCTGCTTCGGGCCACAAACACAACAATCAGCAGGGACATTAAAGCCAACTTCTGCTGCCAAAGGCCGCACAATTTAGCACATTTAATCTTTAATTAAGAGCAGCGCATAGACAATTCCACCCCCCCCCCCCCCCTCCTCCAACACTCTTCAGTCAGCGGCTTAAATGATGCGTTAAGACGGCCTTTAACTGGGCTTGTGGCTGCCTAAACCGCAACGAACTTCATTCCAAAAATAGTTATAGGAAAAAACAAGGCGTACTGTCTGAGGAATCGTTTCAGTTTCTTACTAAAATGCGCGAGCATTGCAAATAAATTGAATTACGAGCGAACAAAATAAAAGCCAAAGGGACCCTAGAAGTTGCGCAACTGAAAACGACAAATATGCAAATGGACACTTGACACAATCGACTGACGAGGCAGATGGCAGCGGCCCAGCGGGTGGCAAGGGTTTGCGGGGGAGAGGGGGGGCCGTCGGGGTAACAGCTGCAAGGCTTGGGCCAAAGGCGACATTTTTGGGCCAAAAGCGAAATCCTATTAAAATTCAATTGCCTGTAAATGAACTGAGGCGCCGTGTGACAGAGCCCAACTTCAGAGGGTTCCAAGACAGGACAACGGGCCCAGCAGCCCAACGGGACCAGCGGGACCAACGCTTGTTGTTTGTCACTTAATTAAGGTTAATGTGTGCACAAAGAACAGGACACGCCCACCCGCTGACTCGCTGACAGACTGACTGACTGACTGACTAAGTGACTGGCAGCAAGGATTAACTTTGGATTTGTAAACAAGTTTCATGCGTAATTTAATTTCCAATGAAAATATCCTGTCAGCCAGCTGTGGGCAACATTTATTGCATTTGACTACGGCATTTAAGCTGGAGCGCCGAAAGGGGCCGGACAAGCCAGCATAATGGCCAAATGGCTTGCGATGAAACGTGTGACAAGTTTATTTCATTATGGCCACAATGCAAACACATTTCCTCAGCTCACGCTGGCTGCACACATGTCGAGCAGCCGGCAGCCGCAAATGGCAACCAAAATGGCATAAAATCAATTTAAAGGCTTCTCTTCACTTTGGCCAAAACACCGAACTAACGGCCTGTAAAATGATTTAAAAGTTAGCAACAGCAAATTTAATTATGGCCGCAACTCAAACAAATGGCTCTAACTAAGCATTGCCAACTTTCAACCACAATTGCAAAACACACACACACACAGATACTCACACACGCACACAGTTACATGAATTTGAAATTTGAAAGTTTTCGCGCTGAATGTATGCGCATTTCTAATGCTCATTTGTTGCATGTCACTTCTGAGCGCCGCATTGTGCGGCAACAATTTGCGTTTATTTGCCCGTCAAACAGTTTTGAGGCGCTTTCCTAAACAATATTTTACTTAAATTGCAAAGAGAAACATCCTCGCACCTCGGACAATTGGGTATGCTCGACTCAAGCTGAGCCACGAGCTGAAAAGTACGATATGATAAGCAACAGCTTTTTTAGGCAAACTTTTGTAGCTAGCGAGGAGATATTTCCTCTATTAGAATAGCAAATCAATATTCTCAGCTAACGCATAACACATAAATTTCTTTAGCCTTCTTTTTTTTTGAAGAGAAATAAAAAACATTTCAAAATGCCCTAATACCTATCTAAGAATATATCCCTTGACGGCTTTGTTTACAAACAGATACTGTGACGCGTGCCGCTGTATTTCCCAGTTGGAGCTCAAGTTCCAGCGGGAGTTCCCCAAATGCGCATAAAGGTCACCGGAAAGTTTTGCCCCATATTCTTATTGCAAATACTTGGACAAAGTATTTGATATTGTGAGCGCCCTCAATGCTTATCAGCTACGGCTGAAGTTGTGTCAAACTTTGTGATTTTCTGCTCGCTGATAACTGCCGCCTGAGCGAGGCGTAGCGAAATGAGGCGGGACGGGGCGGGGCGGGGCAAGAAGGTAGGGCATAAACGAGGCAATAAACTATGCAATAATTTCAATGTTTAAGCCAACACGCTTTATGGCTAGCACACTTTCAGTTATGGCAAATTGTTGGACACAGTTAAAAGGCACATACACACACACACACACACACACCTACACAAAAATTCAATACAGTGCGAATGAAATATAAAAAGTGGAAAATAAAAGTTGAACTTAAAAAGGCAGTTTTGTTTGTAATGCCGCTGCTTAAAACTTTTCTCATTAGTCACTATTTTTTAGCGGCTGTTTAATTGTTACACACGCACCAAAAAAACTTTCTGAGTAGTTCAAGTTGTTTCCAATTGTTTTTTTTGCCATTTTTTTATGTTTACTTTTTTTGCTCTTAAGGAAAGTCAAACAAATGCCGCTTGCTGCGGACTTCAACATCGCAAGATTTGTGTAAACAAATTAAGCGTGCTACACGCCGCGCCCCGCAGGTGCAGAAATATGCCAAAAAGAAGAAGAACAATCTAATGAGCAGCAGGATCACAGCACAGGTCTAATGGGGCCCGAATAAATTTCATTTGCCAGAGCCAAAAAGAAAAATTAAAAGTTTTCTTTTAGCTGCTTTTAGGCAAGTATATTGGTTCTTACCGCCCACTAATTTAAGACAACTTGCAAATAAACACGTAGAAAGAATGTGCGAGAGGTGGCTGAAGCGGAAACGGAAGCGGAAAGGGCAATGTCATTCAGCAATTACACAGACACACACCCACACACACACACACAAACACACACAATGAGCGTGAACAATGTTACCCACTTGAGATGAGACCGTGTCGTGTTTGCTATCGTGATAATTTACAACACACGAAATTTTGTGCGTGAAAAAACTTGCGACAATTTGGAATTAATTTTGAGCAATATAAGTGTCAAAGATTTTAAAGTAAAGATTATTTCTTTATCCATTTTTAGATCCAAGCGACAAATCGGTTTTGATCGAAGCTGGTTTGAGCCCGAAATTTCAACTTATATTTTAATACAAAGCGAACATTAAGCTGGTTTGACTTTACTTTCGATATACTTTCGAAAGAAGCTTCACGAATCGAACCTAAAGGCTGGCAGCTAGTTGCAACCATGAACAGAACCAGCAACTATTTTCATTTCGGCTTTGTATTTGAAGTACTTTATATAAGCCTTAAAATTAAAAAATTCTCAGATTTCAAAAACTTTCTTCATCATTAAACACTTTCAGTCTTGAAATTAAATAAAAAATATATTGGCAAAATTTAAACGGAGAGTAAAGAACAAACCTTATCCAATAACAAAAGGTTTTTCGTGTTCGTGTTTAAAGTATTTGTCACGCGCTCATCTCTATCAACGCATAACCACGGGGCACGTTCCTAAGCGAGCAGCCCACAGAGCACAGACAGACGCCCAACCCTTGCATAGCTCTCAACAAGTTTATGCACTGCAATTTCATCTATTTTGCAAGCGATTCCTGGCCCAAAATGTAGCAAACATTTAGTCGGTCCATCAGTCAGTCAGTCAGTGTTGGGAATTCGTCAGTCAGCTTCTAATTAAGTGCGTGCCTGCCCACGCTTATAAATATGAACTCCTCCGGCAGCTCCTTATGCCCGACATGTATGCACACACAGAAACAAACACACACACACATACCTATAGTTGGCCCGGTTACGTCAAGTTCGTGGAATATTTAAATATATACATGAATATCAATTTTGCAGTCTCGTCTGCAATTGCAGCATTAATTTGGCCAAGTGGAATGGCTGACAAATAACACAATCTGCACATGTGCAACAAATTAAATTGGAATTGAAATATGCCCGACAGGGCCAGGACATTGTCTTGGCGCACAACACAATTCTAATTGGAATGCCGCCAAGCTGTTAATGAGCTTATAACGGATTAAACTGGTATGTTGCCAAGTCAAGTCAAAATTATATTAATTGAAAAAGTTCATTTCATCAACTTGTTAAATGTGCGCTGCAAGCACTTTTCAACTTTTGTGAAAAACTATGCGAAATTATGAATTGCGAGAAAAAGTGCCACGCACTCCACATTTCACTTTTCATGCATTTTAATTACAATTAATTTTAATTATTTTTTGTGCAACGCATTTATTTGAATTCACTTGGAAAAATAACTGAAAATTGGTTAAGCTTGTATAAAAAAATTAAATAGTTATATATGATACTATTTTTGTACTTATAAGTAACAACAATAGCGTATATAAATAATATTTAAATATGCGTATAGTTTAGCAAGTTATTAACTATTTTTGGGTTCATTTTCTAAGCATATATTTTGAGCGTATACATTAATATGAAATGTGTTTAATAAATGTTTTCGAGATATGTGAATCCAATTCAATGCAGAATATAAAAACATTTAATTAATATATTCTGCAGAGATAGTCATATTCTTTATAAACAGATGAGATATTTGGCTATTGATGGGCATTTCAATAATTTGCCTTTTTCATTTTGGCTATTGTGTTTAGATTTCAATTCCAATTTCTATGGCATATTAAAATTAATTCGTACTTGTGCTTGAACTTATTTTTAAAGAAGTGAACTTAACGATAACTTAAATGATATTTATAGGTATATAGCAAGCATATGGCTTAGTTGAGTTAATTACAAGCCTATGACTGATTAAGTTATAAACGTTCTACAAATGGCAAACAGTTTAAAATTAATTGGGATTATTCTCTGGCTCTCTGCTGCATTGTGCTGATAACTTCTTAAGCAACTAATTTTGTGAACATTCATTTGTATAAGAGACCAAATCCAACTAAATCATTATAAATATTATAGGACACTGGACTGTAGACACATCTAGCTTAGCTATTCTTAGCTATTTAAATATATACAAATTCGGCCCAAACTTAATTATCATACAAAAACGCTTACATACTATAGCCTAAAGTTGTTGTTTTTTAATTAACGTATTCTTAAGCTTAAGTTGTAAGTAGTTGTTCTGCTTCTGCTTCTTGTAAGTATTGTAAAGTTTCCTTTATAAGGCACTGTATGTACATTATGTACACCTGACTGAACTTGAACTTAGGCTAGTTATCTACGTGGATGGCGGCTTGCCGTGCACACGAAAGCGATATAGACACGTATAATCCGGCTGTCCATGATTAGACTCGATGCGCAGCTCGACAATCTCAAAGGGCCGCTTGATGTCCACATTTTGTACGGCAAAGAATTGCAGCGAGGCGTTGTTATCCTGATATTCATACTCACCAAACAGCACAGGTTCCTGATCCTTTTCATGTTCCAGGCCCTGCGAGCAAAGTGTAAAAGTAAATATATGTATGCTGCAGGGTTTTCCATTTTGAGAAGCTTACCCAAACGGTAAAGTTGCGCGGCGCTGAGTCAATGCGTCCCGTGGGCGACAGGCTCTTCGATATGTGCTCCAGCGTAAAGCCCGTGACATAGACCAAAGAGTTAAGCTTCAGCACTGCGTATGAATAAGAAGTTGCAAGTAATTTCCGTGCTCTACAATATTTACCTACCCAGAAATCCGGGAAAGCCCTGAAAGGCCCAGCACTCGCCGGGCTGCACATTGGGCGATATGGCCACCCTGGGCGTATTGCTGGGATACCACAGCGGTATGCCGAAGACTGAGATTTGCGCCGATTTGGTTTGATAGCTTTCCGTGCACCGCGTGGAAAGTATTTGTCCGCCAGCCGACTCCAAGGCAAAGTCGACCAGACCCGTTTTGTCCGCATCGTAAATGGCCAGCACGGCCTTCACTATGCTGCGCACCTCGTCCTCGTGCATATGCGCCTTTGCCGACTGGCTGCTCTCATTGTGCTTGGCCTCCACGGCCAGCAGTATTTCGCGCTTGAGCCGCTCGCTAATGTCGCTCATCAGCACAAGGCTGGAGCGTTCAATCTCTGCGCGTATATTGTTGTTGGTTTTCTCGTTTAGCTGCAGCAGCTGCTGCTCCAGATAATCCTTGGCCACAAACATGCTGCGCACCCAATTCTGCAGATCCACATCATTCAGCTTGCCGCCCGCCGTCTGCTTGAAGCCCAGAATCTCCACCAGCGTCAGCTTCACTTGCTTGTTGAGCAGCGCAAACTGTGAATCGTTCAGCGCCGCCAGCTTGCTCTCGATTTCGGCGAGCAGGCCACTAAAGCGTTGATCCTGGGCCAGCTCGTGCTGCTGCATGCGTGCCAGCAAATCGTCCTGGGTGAGCTTCAGGCTGCTTATGGACTGCTGCAGATCTGCGTTCTCCATTTGCTTGTCCGACAGCGCCAGCTTGATGAAGGCTATTTCTCTGTTTAGCTGATCGATTTGCTGCTCCGCAACGGGCTGGCCAGAACCCTCACCCGGCACGTGTTGCTGCAGCGCCAGATTTATGCGTGCATCCACAAATTCTGCCAGCTCAGGTGCGTCCAGCAGACGCTTGAGCAGCGCCGTCAAGTCAATGCGCTCCAGCAGCAGCGTATAATGTGTCTCCTCCAGCTTGAACTCCGCCTTGATCAAACGGGTTAGCTCCTCCAGCTGCGCATGGGTGAACTTTGCCTGCTCTGCATGCCATTCGCCGGACTGTTGCAGCTGCAGCTTCAGGCGCAATGCCAAATCCGCCAGCTGCTGATCGCTGAGCTGCGACCCTTGCTCTGCAAATTGTTGCAGATTCTCGCGCATGAGTTGAACTATAATTTGGATTTGCTGCGGCGACAGCTGTTGCTGCTCCTGCTGCTGGTGCTTCTCTTGCTGCTGCAGCTTCAGCTCTACCAGCTGCTGCACATAGCTGTTGACATGATTCAGTATATTCTCATATTCCTCTGGCGTTAGCGACTTTTGTATGCCCTGCCGCACCTGCTCCATTTGCAGCTTGATGCTGGCCGCCTCCTCTTGCTGCTGCTGCTGTGGCTGTGGCCACAGTGACTTGAGCGCAACTCCAGTCTGCGACAGCTGCCCACGCAGCGTGGCGAAAAGTGCCAAAGGCAGCGGCAACAACGTCTCCACGCGTTGCACATGCTCCAAACGCCGCTCCGCCGGCAGCTGCAGCCAGGCTGTAAAGGAAAACAAAAATTAGTTGGGCATTTGGGAAATGGGGGGAGACACAACAGACTTATATCCTTCTACATTTGCAACTTTCTTCTTTTATTTTTTTAGCATAGGTCAAGGAAACTGTTGAATGGGGAATTTCGGGGCGACGCCAATGAGCACAAATGCAGAAGGATAGAGTTCTGTTCGTTGGAATATTTTGTTCAATTGATCGTTTTGATTTATTTATGAATTTTACTTACCATTTCATCTCGCAATCGCGTCGCATAGTTCAATAAAATGGCAAATAAAACAAGCTATTTACTTAATTTGTTTGTTCATAGTTTTTGTACTGTATTTCACAAATGTTTATGAAATTGTTTGCATTTATTATAAATTTATAGTTTTTATAGACAAACAAATGAAAGGATTACAATTTAAACGTTGTTTGACAACAAAAATAGGCTTAAAACGTTGCACAAAATTACAATTTGGGCTAATAAAAACAGCTAAGACTTGAATTGTGCAATTATTAACTCAAAAATTGATAATTACACAAGTTGAACTTTTTGCAATTGTTAATACGAGACCCAAAAGCAAAGTCGACAACAAACAATGAATGATATTTGTTTTGTTTTTTTTTTAATTATTAACTTTATGCACAATTTGAACAGCGTAGCGAGTTCTCTCTTTCTCTCTCTCTCTCTCTATCCTTCTCCATATTGCGTCATTTAGTTGGGTGAGGGGGTTTGGGGGGTGGGAGTGGGAGTGTAATGTGTGTATGTGTATGTGTGTGTGTATAGGTGGGTTGTTTAAATTTTAACAAAATGACAAAAATATATAAAGTTTGGCATGAAAAAAGAAAATGTAACATGAACTGAACTGAACGAAATGTAAACGAGGAAATGCCAAACAAATGCTTGAATTTGTACTTGAATTGATCTTGGTTTTAGATTAAAGATAAACAAAACTTTAGATAAATAGCTGCTGCAGCAGCTCATGGCCGAAACGATAGCAAAACTGCTGAAAGTATTCTTTAAACACGCTCGTAATAGACCGCATCGCTGCTGGCCTGAAACAGCTGACGGCCCCTGTTGGCCACATTCTGGCCGATAGTTTTCAAATAAACCAGATAATCATCGGCCCAGTCACGCACGCGCACCGCCTGCTCAACAGCCTGGGAGCGCAGCGTTTCATACTGGGCCGCATTCAAATAGGCCCCAACATCAATTTTCGGCATTTCGGGTAGTGTGAATGTGTTAAGAGTTAGGGATTTGGGCGGGAAACTTTCATTGGGATGTAGATAATAGAACAGACCTGTAAAGTTGAAAGTTGCAATTAGCTGAGAGTATATACGTACATACTTATGCTAGAGTTAAATATATTAAGTATTCAAAGTTAATGCTGGCATGGATACTTGATAACGAGGAGACTTGCCTATATTAGGGCACGGTTTGTTTAATCCGAGTTGCATAAACTAGTATATATTAGTAAATTTTCTTTAATTTGTAATTAGAATATTTTCGTGAATACAACTTTTAAAAAAACTATCAAGTATCATTCTAACTTAATTTATATGTGTGTGATGTTTTCTTTTTGGCTTTTATATTTTGTAAATAATTCAAAATTTAATAAAATAAACTATCAACTGATATTTAGCTTAAATGAAATATTAAAAGAGCATATACTGGAATGACAATTCATTTACATATAATTTGTATATAATTATCTTCTGAATATTGTACATATATATTTAGATTTGTATATATATTTATATATTTTTTAATTTTTCTATTTTTGTATATTTTTACATACTTTTTAAAAAACCAACAGGTGTCATTCTAGCTTAGTTATTTATAGCTAAAGCTGCTATGATACTTGCCAATTTTTATCCAACAAACAAGCAAAAGTGTTCAACAGCTTCGCTATATTAGACATAATTTTCATATATTGCAATCTACTGGCAAGTGTCATTCCAGCATTTAGTAAAATATATGAACGTGCCTATGAAAATGTTCATAGAAATTATGCACACATTTTCCATATCAATAACAACCGCAACAACTGGCTGCTGACGTCAGACGCTGTCAACGACCAGAGTCGACCAGTTTTATTAATACACCCAGCAGAAAGGTGAACTATATGCATGTGGCGTTAGTTGTAGGCACGATTCAAGGTGAGCATTTGGCTGCCGCTCAATGTCAAGGCGTGCACGTTCACATATTTTACATAAAATACATTTATTTAAATATTTTCATCTATTTTCACTTACCCGTTAGCAGCAGGAGGGGCAGCAGTATGAGCAGAAAGAGCAGAAAACGCTTCTTAGACTTGTTATCAATGCTGCTGGATCTGAGCAGCCACGTGTCAAGGCTGAGCACCGAGGCAATGGCTATGTAGACATGGCGCATCAGGCTCAACAGGCTGCCAACTATGAGTCCATGCTGCTGCTGCTGTTGACGCTGCTGCTGCCTGGCATAGTAGTTGTGATAGGCACTCGTCTCTGTTTGCGAAATGCTTGTGATGCGCGTCCACATGCTGCTCATGCTGGTGACAATGACGCTGATGAAGCGCAAGAGCCACCAGCTCTGCTTCTGCTGGTGGATAAAATTTGTATTGTCCAGCTCATCGCCAGAGTCGTAATTCAAGCGCGTGTAATTCGACTGATAGCGGCGGCGTATGAACTCCTCCTGTGCTGGATTCTGATTGACCATGATATCGACTCGTTCATTATGATTCTCCAAACTGCGACGCGACATATTCGGCATGGCCACAATGCCTGGAGCCAGCTGGCGTCTATGCGGCGACAACTCCGAGTAGGTATAATCCGTTTTGGGTGTTTTGCTGCGAAACATAATTCAATTAGTTGGCTTTCTTTTAGAATAAAGGCATACAAATAGCACTTGAAGCTGGGCTGACAACCGAAGAGTCAAGCGAAACCGAGTGACAGTTATTTCAAGGCAAATGAGGTTTATCAGCTGCTCTAGATGCTATTTGCCAGCTACTTACTTCCAGTACTCGCCGGCATCTCTGTACTCAATATAGGCCAAATGATCGTCACTTAAATTGGCATTGCCATTGGAGCGGCCGCTGGTGTTGCGCTCCTTCTGCTGCTGTTTTAGTTCCTGTGTGGTATTCAACACATTCTGTGTCGACTCCAATTGGCTGCGCGGCGTGGAGGTGACAGCGGTCAGGCTGTTCAGGGCATTGCCCAGTCGCTTGCTGGTGCTGGTGAACATGGTGGTCACCGTGGATGTGTTGCCCGTTGCCTTGCGCTTGGCCTCTGACATCGCATCATCGCTCGAATAGTCCGAGGTCAGTTGGTTAAATGCCTTTGAGCGCGTGGCTTTGTTGTTGCGGTTACTGCTGCTGCTGCTCCTGGTGGTGGTTGTGTGAGACTCGACCACGTGCTCCTCCACAATGGTTCTGTAAATATGTAAACAAGTTGGCAACGTTAGCGGAAACTGTGTAGATCAAATAAATTATAGACTTCAGCATAATTAAGGCAAAATGTGAATCAAAACAAACTAGAAAATATTCTCATAAATGTTTTACAAATAAAAACGCGTCTGACCTTCAGCCACAAAAACAAAAACCAGCAAACGACTTCGTTTTTTTTTTTTTTGGCTATAAGCGACAACATGAAAACGAAGCTCTCAGGGCCGAATGGCCTCCGCCTCTTGCCTGATGTCGTCATCAACGAAACGGCGCGGCAAAACAGCAGACGGCAATTCATTAAACATAAGCAAGCTACAGAGCGCACGTTAGATTCAATTCGCGCGCCAAAAAGAAATCATATTTAAAGTAACACGCGACAGCGCACCCTGTATAGCAGCTCGTCAACGATTTGAACTCAAACAAACATATTTGCATCAGATCTGAGCGGGCATTGTGATGATATCTTTAGGATATGAGTCACTGCCGGGATACACACACAAGTGACTGTGACTGCTGGCGAGAGTAAATGATGTCATCGCTTATTTAATAAGTTAAAATTCTGTTTCAGCTTAAATATTTCTGCGTGCATATTATTTATTAATTAGTGCTATTTAATGCATAATATTTGGTTACACTGCAATACAGTGTTGCCACTTGACTTGTATGTAAGACACTGATTCACTGTTACTTGCCAGATAGTCACAGTGACAGCTGGCGCATCTCTTGTGTGTTAAGTATTTCAGTTGTACATTTCGAAATTAAAATTTCGCGCCGAGTGTGAATAACAAGCAGATGACGTCATGGTCACAAAAACGCACACATGCACACGTATACAGTCTGACCATGTGTCGTGAGTTGTGTTTGTAGTTGTGTGCTCAATGTTTATGACGAGCTATTGCCAAAGTAACGTTTTTTTTATTGTTGCTTGGGCAACTCTCATACTCTCTTCAATTTGGTAGCATGTTTAACTGTTAAGCAGCATATTTTTGAATTGTTTTTTTTTTTTTGGGTTAGCGTTTCAATTTATGTTTAGATAATTTTTCAAGTGTACTTACTGAACATTCGGTGGCTGGGACGGCTTCTGCTTCTTGTGATGCACATGCCCCTCCTCGCCCGCGTGCTCACAATTCTCATGATCGCAGCTGGAGCGCAAGAATGGCGTCTTGGAGCGCGAACGTCGGCGCGTCTCTATCTGGTATAGTTGGTCGCTCATGGCCTGCTTAAAAAGTTTAACTGCAAACGAAAAGTATAAACAATTAATGCTTGTGGGGGGGGGAATAAATAAATGCCGAGCATTTTTGTCTGTGTGTGCACGGTTTGTTTATGTGTGCGTGTACCTGTCTGTGTGCGAGTGACGGGCGTGGGTTGTTTACAATGTGGATTTCACTTCACAATGAGAAGGGGGAGGGGCGGGGCGCAAATGGGCATTACAATTGGTAATGAAACAAGGTCTGTCGAAACATTGAACACACTTATACGCACGCATATATATGTATGTATGTGCGTGCGTGCGTATGAGTGTTTGTATAGATTGTTGAGTTTCTTTTACGGTCGAGTGCTCAACAAATCGGGCTGTTGGCTGAAAGCATTAACATTACAAAATTATGCAATGCGTGTGGAAATGAGCGCAGTTTCTTGAGTTTTAATTAGATTGCAATGGGAGCGCAGCGAGCGCCTAAAAATACATAGACAAGCAGCTGCAACGGTAGCAGCAGTAGCACGCATTGCCGGGTGGGCCTTGCAAAGTCGGCAAAGCGCAGACGAAGCACCACAATTCGCATTAGGGGCACTCAGTGTGAGCATAAACAAAAACGTAACTAACCAACGGCGAAACAACGCCATAAACAAACACAGATATTTGGTGGTGTTAATCAATAAAATGCGTCGCGACGCCCTTTCGCAAAAGGCATACACACTTCTACTCTTAATGCTTTTGGTGAAATGCGTGAAAATCCAAACAAGTTTTCCGACCCGCAACTGCGTCAGCAAACGCCGCGTCGTTTTTTTTTGTAGCGTGCCAAAAGAAAATGTGGCGCACACACACAGGTACACTCGTATAAGATTCTATACACACTTACTTTTCACACATTCAAGTTTAGCACAAGAATTCAGTTTTTATTTAATGTGCTTTTGCACAATTTGTTTTTGATCGGCGGTCGCGACGTTTTATAAATAGATATGCGCACCGAACAAAAATACACGTCTGACTCTAACAACAGAAAAATTACGAATGACTCGATAAATCGCAGTATACGACAAATAATATACGATATATCGATACATTTTAGGAGCGTCATGAACAGCTACGTTATTTGGGCAAGCAGTTCATACTTGACAATAGATTTAAGCGATACTGATACATCGTTTTGAATAGTCTCGATATATCGACACGAAATTACACGATACTTGGGAATGTTGCGTGCAAAAACGCGCGAACAGTCCTTGCTATTTATTTGGTACCCACTGCCTATGTTGTGTGAAATACTTAAATCAAAACATACAAACGTTTACATATACATATATATTAATTTACGTTGTAATAGCGCAGAGTATAAAAGATTTTTCGTATAGGTGCAATAGCTGCTAAGGCAGTTTATTGGTAGTAGAGCTCCAGATTCATGCCGTCGTGAATTTCGTCTGCAAGTACCATAAAAGGCAGGTCATTAATATTATTAATCAAAACATAATCAACTTGATAGTTACGAACAATCAGATAGACGAATGGGGTCCTTGTAGATGGTATACCACTTTTTCAGCACAATCTTCTCATGCTTTGTGCCAGTTTGCGCCGCTATCAGCTTTTTGAGGTCCCCAATGGTGTCGTCGGGATTGCACTTCACACGCACCTGCAAGACAAATGAAAGTCTTTGTTAATTTGTATTTTTTAAGCACAACGCTGTTACCTTTTTGCCCAGGCGGTCATTGCAAGTTATTTCAATCATATTTGTGTGTTTTGTCTTCACCTCTCAATGCAACAACAAATATATTTCGATAGCTGCATATGCATGGCAACGTTATCGATATATATTTAAGTGTTGCCAGATTGACGCGAAAATTCCCTGCAGAAATAACAAATTAGCAGACGGCAAATTCAGCACTAGAAAAGTCTCGCAAATATGTCAATGATTCCGTTCTTTCCCAGCATCAAGCCTTCGGTGGCAAATCGTATTTGGTTCGATATGACATCCGATGATGAAGTACAAACCAAGCGTTATGAGGACGAGCGCAGGAATTGGGTATGCCCGAAATGCATTTAAAATAGGACAACATTTGACGTGTTTCTATTACAGCGAGAATCCTTGAAAACGGCTGCCACGGATCTGCAGCCGCTGGGAAAGGTGCACACTATCACCGGCGTCGAAACCGATGATGAGGACGGTAAGTCTCAAACTGAGAGAGGGCATAACATTTCGAAATGCTAATCAAAGATTTCCGCAGCCAACGACGATAGTGAGGACACGGACAGCCACGATGAGGAGGACGATGAGACCAACGATCGAGTCATTCCAGTCACACAGGACTTTTACTCTGCCGACGACATACAAATGAATGATGAGACCTCGCCCACAGCACCATAAGGAAAGGCATTGCATAGATACACCATTTAGTTGATTAATGTTGCGATTACAAAGTTCCCTTTACAAACTGTAATAACATATTTCGTTTACTTTAAGCTTAAATAAATTATAAACATAATAAGCAAAAATAGTTGGGGCTGGGCGAGCACACTGGTTATCATAATTGTAACTCTGCCGCTGCAGTCTAAGGGATTAGGGGAGCGGATTTACAAAGAGTTTTGGACTTTAACAAAAATTTTGTCTACTTGTGCAGCGCAGCCGTTTCCATTTTGGGCGCTGGCTTCGAGGCTAGACCGGAGAGCAATTTCTTGATCTCGGCAATAGCACGGCCAGGATTGAGACCCTTCGGACAGGTGCGCGTGCAGTTCATGATGGTGTGACAACGATAGACGCTGAAGGGATCCTTCAGCTTGCTCAGACGCTCCACGCTGTTCTCGTCACGCGAATCAATGATCCAGCGATACGCCTGCATTAGCACAGCCGGGCCGAGATATTTCTCGGCATTCCACCAGTACGATGGGCATGCGGTCGAGCAGCAAGCGCACAGAATGCACTCGTACAGGCCATCCAGTTTGGAGCGATCCTCCACAGACTGCAAGTACTGTGCCTTGCCCTTCTTCTCAACGGCTTCGTTTCTAAATGGATTAAAATTATAATTAATATTAGGTTATTAGTCAGCTGCTAATTACTTACTTGCGCTGCAGCCAGGGCTGGATGTTTTTGTACTGCTCGTAGAAGTTGTTCATGTCCGGCACCAGATCCCGCACCACATACATATGCGGCAATGGATACACCTTCAGAGGCTTCGAGCTGGTCGCATCGATTTTGCTGATGCATGCCAGGGTATTGACGCCGCCAATGTTCATGGCACAGGATCCGCAAATGCCCTCGCGACAAGAGCGACGGAACGTCAGAGTGGGATCTATCTCATTCTTGATCTTAATGAGCGCATCCAGCACCATGGGACCGCATTCGCGCATATTAACCTCGTAGGTCTGCATGTGGGGCTTCTCGCCGGCATTGTCCGGACTCCAGCGGTAGATTTCAAACTTCTTTATTTGCGGCTCCGGCGCTGCCTTCGGCTGTGCCTGCTGCTCCAGCTGCGTTGTGTTGCTGATTGCACGTAACTGGGGAAAACCACAAAATTAATTTGGTAACTTTTGCGCTTTGGTCACGCCATTGCAATTTTTTTTTTCGTTTGGCAAAAACGTTTACATAATCGCAAATTGTGATATTTTCACGACGCATTCGACTGGCATTTTATCAGGAATTTGGGCTTTTTAGTTATGTTTTTGTTAATTCTTATATAATAATACTGCCCAAATGGCCAACACACACGCCCCTCGAGGGGATGGAGGACGTTTGCTGCTGCTTACCTGGTGACGCGCCGCCAAGGAGCTGGCGCGGCTCAAAACTTGTCTGGCTTCGTTGACCAACATTTTCGTACGAAATTGAAACGTCACTGCGTTTGCAATTTTAAATATTTCAAGCAAACAATATGTTGTTTTCCGACGGAAAATCTTAGTTGCAATCAAGAAGTTGCTCGACTGTCTGACAGTGTTGCCAGCTTGCAGTTATCGATAGCCAAAAAGACGCCAGCTGGCATAAAAAAGGCTAAAACAACCAGAAGCTGGCCGCCATTAAATTGCTTATGAAAAAATTCGTAGTAGTTAAAATGGTATTAACTTATTTAAGATTTATCTTAAACTCATCTTAAAATACTTAATATTTTATTATTAGTTTGTTTTTAAGCAAAATAACCCATAACAAACAAGAAAAGCTGGCAACTCTGAAGAATAGCTGCAGCGTTATCGATAGCTAGCTGAAAAGATATCGGTTTCTTTCAGCTGAGAGCAAGTGTGACCATGTGTTGGCGATTATACATTTAAATTTTAAATGCTTTTAATTCTATTTGTATATGTTTATAAAAAAGCGTATGTAGCTTGCAAAAATAAATAATTATTGAGAAAATCTTGTCACAGTTTTTAAAAATACTTTATGTCAAATGGTAAACCTTAGTAAAAAGCGTTTAGATTTGGCTAACTGTTTCGACCGCCCCTTGGTGGGTCTGATGAGTGATCGGCTTCTCACAGTTGGCTGGAAGAACGGTCAGCTCCGCGTTAGACATAGTTCCATTGTTTACAGCACGCTGCTGCATGGGCGGATAGGACGTTTGCATGCTATAATCATAATATACGTACGATAAATTTGTGGATACATTTTGATTAAATTCAATAGTTCAACCTACCCAGGCATTGGAGTTTGCATGACCTGCACTTGCACGGGTATCATTTGAACATGGCTATAAAGGTATATATTAGGCGAACGATTCCAGGAATTAGTCTTGTTTGGAAGCTTACCTGGTGGTTTGTGCTGGATATGCATACGTTCCCGGGTAAACGTTTGGCTGATAGCTTGGCGGTGGGTAATGTGTAACGGGAACCCCACCTGGTGGCCTGTGTGTGGCCGAGGTGATCGCAACTGGGGCTGCAAAGCGAAATAATTAGAAACCAAAGAATCAATAAACTAAAAATCAGAAACATATAGTATACACGACCAGCTGATAAGCACAGATTAAGTGTACTCTAAGAATTCTTTTCGCTCACCACCCTCGCTGATCACATAGCCCACGCCTTGTTTTGCCTTCTGCTGGCGCCTAATTAAAACCGTAATTGAAACTATAAAAAATATAGATGTTGCTATACAAAGTGCAATTAGAAAGCCTTCCATTTCTTCTTATATAATGTTGTAATGCTGACAAATGCCCAATTTGAGCTGACAAACCGTACTGAGTTTCGGATCGCCAATTGCGTTGAGTTAGTCCCCGCTCGTGTCTAATCAATGGACATTATTGCCATAGATAAGCAGCGATATCTGCTAGCTTTAAACGTCAGGTTGTAAATATACAATCGCCCAAATATGGCAAGAAATTAGTCATAAAAAACACTTTAACACAGAAATATAAATATATAAGCAACAATATATGTATGTCTTTTCAACAATGATAATAATAGATTAAAATAAACGAAACAAGTCTATTTTATCTCACATTATAAAATTGTTAGCACAGTAGCTGTGCGAATTGTTGAGTATATAAAGATAATTTCTATAAATTATGTAGATTTAACAGTTAAATTTAAAGATTACAATAGACTTTATGTTATGCATGTAAAATTGTATTTACTTTCATAGAGTTGCCAAGAGTTTTAAACTATAAAATTATAAGAATATGGAGCTCCACACGATTAGAAACATATTTAATTTTTATTGGCAAAAAAAGAATTTGTTTTAAGAAATGTTTACAATACGAAAATGGAGTATTTAATTTAGCGAATTAAATTGAAAATTTTTACGCTAATTTTAGGTGATTTACATTTATTTTTAAAGTATTCAATATATATTAAAGAAGAAAACCTATTTATGAAAATGAGAGATAAACAAGTTTGTAATTGTCTAAAGATACACCCAAATTGAATGCACATCCGCTTTAACCGATTTTACATTATATATAAATAGTATATATGCTTTGAGAATTTGCTAACAATTGGTTGGACTCAAGAGTTCCGAGATAGTGCTTAATGGCAACAAATTGTAAGTTGTCAACTTTTAATTGAGCGTGCACTGTGATAAAAGACGCCTTCAACCGCATTGTTATAGGGCGAAAGTCTCTAAAACAAGCAAATGAATCAGCGGCTTTTTAATGGCACTTGCCAAGTGCTCTTGCTCGCAAACTATAATATAAAACTTTTTAAATGGCATTTATGTTGGCAAGTCAAGAGCAGCGCGACTTTGTCAATTGTTCATTGACCTTTTGTTGGCACTAGCACAATATACCTTATACATATACATATATATATGCATTGTAGGCGCTCTTTATATAGGAAAGAAAAGTATCTTGAAAGCGAGTGCAAAACTTTGGGCCTCATTCTCACCTAGGCAATGGATATTTTCAAACTGAAAGGCATCAAAACCTCAGTTGCAAAAGTTGAAAAAGTCCGTAGAACGCGTTGGGTGCGCTTTATGAGTCGAGAGGTGGAAAAAAACAAACTTTTTCAATGTTAAAGCAAACACAGAGCACAAAAAGTTGAGGGACGCGGTAAGCAAATGCGGGCAAAGCAACCCCCAAGCCCCAACCTGCAAGCCCGGCCCATCATCGCATTCAAGGCAAATAATATACATAAGTCTAAACAATGCGAAAACTTAAATAAAACGTTGGGTCAGGTAAGCAGACCCCCCGCTGCCACCGGCTGCCAACTACAGCCCCGGGACCCGCACAGAAACGGCAACAAAATGCCATAAGAAATTATTTTCAAAAAAGTACAAAACTTCAGGCATCGGATTGGTGGGGCGTGGCAGTGGGGGTAGGGCGACAGCTTGAATGCAAGCTTTTTAAATTGTTTTGATTTGAAATTCGAGTGTTCGCAGTGCATGCAAATGACGTGAATGGTGACGAGCGCAGCTAATTAGCAGAGAATGCCAGAACAGCCTTTAAAGTTTACAACCAAATGCAGAGCACAAACAAATACGATTGCTTTGGGCGCACCGGAAAAAGCCCTAGACTACTTTCGAGGGCAACTAGGAGGGGCTGGCGATAAAATAAAATATGAAGGAAGCAAAGATATCAGTAAGCCGAAGATTAAATACTCTTGCAAGGCTATAGCAAATGTGAGACATATTTGCATACTCAGGAATGTTCTTATATCAACACTCCATTTCCAACCGTCTGTTCCTATAGCAGCTATATGATATTGTTGTTCGATCCGGCCAGTTCCGTCATATGTACTACATGAAATAGATAAACGGACCTATGTATAGTTTCAAGTCGTGGCTATATCAACTTCGCTGATCTGGAATATATCTTCTTGATGGGGTCGGAGATATCTCCTTCTTTAGACTTTTCATGATCGAATTATAAAGCCTTCTACAAGGGCATAAAAATGTTGCAGATATTTTGATGACAAATCCTTTCTATGGAGCTATATGTTATATTAATCCGATTTCGATAAGAGTTTGCTCATGTTTTAGAAGCATGATGACACTATTAAATGCCAAGTTTGATCAAGATATCTTGAAAAACAAAAGTTGCTCGAACAAAAACTTGTTTTTTACGATCTGATTAAACCCATAAGGTTATGAGATATAGTAGTGCGATTCTGATATGATTTTGCTGATATCTTTTGATCATGATGTTTACAGCCAACTTTAAATGTCAAGATATTTGAAAAACAAATGTTTTTTATAAAATAACTCATTTTCGGATAGATCATTTCTTCTAGGAGCTAAATGATATAGTAATTATTTCCGGATACAGAGACAAGCAGGCAAACTTATATGCCAATAAGGACACAATCCAGAATATTTATACATATCTTTACAGGTAAGCAGATATCCTCTTTTATACGTTTCAAATTCCATGAGAAAATAATAAAGTCCTTTGCGAGTGTATGCGAAAAAAAAAGTTGGCAAAATCAATACAAAATGCTGAAAGCGAGCCAAATGAATGGGCTCGATAGACGTTTAGATTTACCAAATTGAGCGAACCACTTGATAAATGTTTTGTGGTGCGTCAAATATACATTTACGTCTGCGATACTAGATACGCCCCCCCGGACCAAGCACCGCCCCGCCCCGCCCAGTTGTCGAGTTGCCGAGTTTTCCTTTATCTGTGTATAGCTATGCAGGTTTTGCGTGTGCCATGACGCACACACACTCAAATAGCTGGACGGGTAACTGTTTAGATATAGACAGATCTGTATATACAAATACGTAGTATGTGTAACAGCTTGAATAACTGTGCGTCTATCAATGGAGAGACAAACGTCACAGAAAAAGCATTTCGATTTCGCTTTCAGTTAACTGTCTGACAATATTGTCAAAGTTTTCTTCTTTTTTTTTTGTGTGTGTATTAAAATGGCATTCATAAGGCGTCATTTCCCTGGGGTGCCATAAATAGGACCCACAGACACAGTTGCAGACACCGCAGACACTAGACAGACAGCCGGACAATTGGAGAGTCAAGCGCAGAGTTCGGGCCATGTAATTCAATACCCTGTCCCTGTATCTAAATGAATTATTTATGCTCGCTTTGTCGGCTTGAGTCAATTCTGTAAACATCGATGGCTGCTCGTTATGTCTGCTTTGGCATTAAATATATCATTAAAACTGCACGCATCGGACATGCGGCACTCTGTTGCCTTTAGTGCTTGTCAATTGCCACAAATTGGCTACAAATTTGTTGCCCTTTCAATTATTACGCATACGACGCGTGGCTCAGCCGCGTTCGCTTTGTGCAGTGCTTTGTCAAGTGGTATTTGTGCATTTGACAGTGGCTATTAAACTGCTAGTTAAAATGATTAAGTGGCCATACGACCAGCTGAAAGTGGTATTTAAACTTTGCAAGAGCTGCCAATCTACGAGTGTATTTGCAATGGATAACCGATTGGAAAGCTTTAAGTGGCATTAAGTGCAATTAGGTTCACTTAAAGCTCAGAGTATAATTAACTGTGGCCAGTTTTTCAGCTGCATTAAGTGCTTCATCAACTTCTTAAGCAACTTTTTAAGCGCACATTAAACAATTAAGAAAGCATAGAAAAGCTTTATAATTAACTTATTTAAAGCAGTTGAGCTTCTTAACTTAATCAGCTTTTGCTTAATTCCTTTACTAAGCAGTTATTATTACAAAACGGAGCTTTGAAAGCTCATCAAAGCTTTACGTAAGTGGAAAAGGCCAATTAGCCTTGAGAAATGTGTCAAAATTTTATTAAATCTTTGAATTCTTTGATTAAGCTTTAAGAGCGATGTGCTAAAAATCACTTAAAGCTCAGCTGAATAGCTATATTTAGCCTTTTTTTTTTGGTTGGCTTTTAGTCAAGCCAGCTTATCTTTTCTTTCTTAGCAAACATACTCTCTGGCACAGCTTTTGTCCTAGTCATACTTGAACAGCTGGCGCTTATTTTCTGGGGCGACAGGTGTCCATCTCGTAAATGTCAGTGAGCGCAGTGAGTGTAAAATCTTGCTGTAATTTGAACAAGACAATTTTATGTGTGCTGCTGTTTGATGTACATTTTCATTACACGCTTTCAAGTGCATCAAATTTTATGCGGCGCCAGCCGAAGCGAAGCGGAGCGAAATAAAAACTTAAACAGCTCGCAGGGCAAAATTTTAAAGCTCAGCGAATAAAAAGGGAGCTGAAAAAAAAGACAGCTGGGAATGTGCACACCTGCGTGTTAGCTGCTGTGTGTGTGTGTGTGTGTGGGGGCGGGCAAAAGTTACTCGGGCAAAATAAAAAAATATATACTGTGACAGCGTATCAGCCTGTGGAATCGCTGAGCTTGTTTTTAATTTCAATCAACTTGTGGGCGACAAGCGCGTGTAATTCAAGGATTTCTCTATGCCCAGAAACTATTTATCAACCTGATGGCGGCAACTTGTCGCCAAGTCACGCCGACTGTCGACTGTCGACTGCCGACTGACGGCTTACAACAAAA